AAAATACTTAAAACAAGCAAAAAAAAAGGTAATCACTCACTGAATTATTTTGCGGCCCGAACCGCAATGTGTACCCCCACAAATTTTACATGAAAACAACCGGCTTGGCACAATGATGTGTGCTTTTACTTTTAATTTGCATTTTGAGTTACCATGGCAATGTAAGGTATAAACAAAGATGCCATTTTTCTCATTGAAAAACACTGACGGATCTAACAGCTTCTAATTGCCACAGTGAGGTCACATGACCTATAGCGAAGCGATCTCTGAACAAAACTCAGCAGGCCCCATCAAAGATTCTTCAGGAACTTTCTAGGTTAATCCTACACTCCATTTGCGTTATAAGACGCGGCTTGGCCTGGGTCGGCCAGTTTGGGTTTTAGCTCTGGTTTTGAGTCTTTGAACTGAGCAGTTCGACTCACTTCCAGGTTGATTTTTGGAACCCAGATACTCTAGGTTCCACGGGAGCCAACTGGTACCAAAGACCTGGCATCAGCAGACTCCAGGCCATTGATTGGTTCACTGTCCAAGTTGGATGTACAACTTCAAAAGAACTGTAAACAAGCTAACATTAACTAGCATTAGCTTACCTTCTTACATCGTCTTGCTTTCCCACATTGGCATGATACTGATGTGTGGCCTCTTACACACTCATGTATCTTTCATGTTTCTTTTGGCAACACACAGCCTTCCCTGGCTCTGTTTTAACTTGCTTTTGATGACTAGAACCTGATTTATGTTTGGACTGTTTTTGTCCTGTTGCGCTCTCTGAATTGTCAAAAATAATAGCTTCATCCAAACCATGCACATGTCTGTTAGATCTCATCCCAACCAGGCTATTTAAAGATGTATTTCCCTTAATTAATAACTACGTCTTGGATCTGCTTAATTTGTCTCTAACAAACGGTTATGTACCAAAGAGCTTTAAGATTGCTGTAATTAAACCTTTACTTAAGAAACATAACCTTGACTCAGGAATCCTAGCCGACTATAGACCTATATCTAATCTAACAATCATCTCAAAAATTCTAGAGAAAATAGTTGCTAGTCAGTTACGTGATTATCTGCAAAGAAATAATCTGTTTGAAGAGTTTCAGTCAGGGTTTAGAGCTCACCATAACAATGAATTTGCACTGGTGAAAGTTACCAATGATATTCTCATAGCCTCTGACAATGTACAGGTGTCTACACTGGTCCTCTTAGACTTCAGTGATGCATTTGATACAGTTGATCATAATATTCTATTACAAAGACTTGAATTTGATGTTGGAATTACAGGAACAGCTCTAAATTGGTTTAAATCATATTTATCTGATAGATTCCAATTTGTAAATGTAAATAATGAATCTTCATCAGACACCAAAGTTAGTTATGGAGTTCCTCAAGGTTCATCCATCCATCCATTATCTTTACCCACTTATTCCATTTTGGGTCACGGGGGTTGCCGGTGCCCATGTCCAGCAATCACTGTGCGAAGGGCGGCGTACGCCCTGGACAGGTTGCAAATGCATCACAGGGCCACATAGAGACCAATGAGACAAACAACCATTCACTCTCTCACTCACACCTAGAGACAATTTAGTTACCAATCAGCCTAACATCATGTTTTTGGTCTGTGGGAGGAAACCGGAGTACCCAGAGAAAACCCACGCATGCACGGAGAGAACATGCAAACTCCACCCAGAAAGGCCCCTGGACCGGGGTTTGAACCAAGGACCTGCTCACTGAGAGGCAGCAGCTCTACCAGTTGCACCACCGTGCTGCCCATGTTAAAAATCTTGGTGTTATTTTTGATCAGGACATGTCTTTTATCCCCCACATTAAAAACGTTACTAGAACTGCCTTCTTTCACCTGCGTAATATCGCTAAAATTAGAACCATCTTATCTAAAAATGATGCAGAAAAACTGGTTCATGCATTTGTCACATCTAGACTGGACTATTGCAATGGTTTATTATCTGAGTGTCCAAATACTCCAGAGTCTTAACTGGAGATAGTAGGAGAGATCATATCTATCCAGTTTTAGCTTCTCTCCATCGGCTCCCTGTCAAGTCCAGAATTGAATTCAAAATCTTCTAACCTACAAAGCCCTCAACAACCTAGCTCATCATATTTTCAAGATCTTATTGTTCCATATTTTCCTAACAGAGCACTTCACTCTCAGACTGCAGGATATCTCGCAGTCCCTAAAGTTTCCAAAAGCAGAATGGGAGGAAGATCTTTCAGTTATCAGGCTCCTCTCTTGCGGAACAAACTTCCACTTTCTGTCCATGAGGCTGACACATTGTCCAGGTTTAAGACTGGGCTTAAGATTTGCCTTTTTGATAAATCCTATAAATAGGGTTGTCTTGTTGTGCTGCCTTAAGCTTAGACTATTAGAGGACAAACTGACCTAATTTCCTTAAATAAATTTTAAAAATTAAATAGTTTTCATTTGATACTATTTTTATCTTAACATGTGATTCTTGACCTACCATTGTGTATCTGTTCCTACCAAACCCAGCCGGTTGAAGCAGATGACCACATGTCCTGAACCTGGTTCTGTTAAAGGTTTCTTCTTCATGAGGGAGTTTTTCCTTTCCACTGTTGCCTTCATGCTTGCTCAAGATGAGAGTTCTGTGATGGTATTAAACTCAAAGAAGTTTTCTCCTCAGATAAATAATCTTAAATTATTATTTTTATATATGGATGTTTCTGTTAACTTATTTTTACATACTATATGAATATTTCTTTTCGGCAGCATGGTGGCACAACTGGTAGAGCTGCTGCCTCTCAGTGAGAAAGTTGCCGGTTCAAATCCCCATCCAGGGGTCTTTCTGGGTGGAATTTGCATGTTCTCTCCATGCATGCGTGCATTTTCTCCGGGTACTCTGGTTTCCTCCTACAAACCAAAAACATGTATGACTGGTAACTCTAAAATTGTCCCTAGGTGTGTGTGAGAGAGAGAGTGAATGAGTGTTTGTCTCATTTGTCTCTATGTGTCCCTGTGATGTACTTGCGACCTGTCCATGATGTACCCCACCCCTCACACAGTGATTGCTGGACATGGACACCTGTGACCCCAGTGACCCAAAATGGAAGAAGCAGGTAAAAGCACCCTGCAGCATCCTGCAAATGTTGGATGCTGTGTATCATGGTGCACTAAGATTCATAACTGGCTGTGATTATTGTACCCACCAATGCACCCTGTATTCACTAGTTAACTGGTCATCATTGAGCATGCATCAGGATGGTCATCATTAACTTCACGCAGACTCTCTCACTGGTACGTTTTCATCTTTAAATCACTTCTTGGTCTGTTGCCTTCATACATCTGCTCCTACATGTCTCTGCATGAGAGCAGCTACAGCGTGCGCTCTCAGGACAATATTACATGCAGTGTCCCCTCAGTGAGGACTGAACTTGGCAAAAGGGCCTTCTCCTACTCTGCTCCTGTTTCCTGGAATATCTTACAAAAAGATCTGAAGCTCTCAACCTTGACCTCTCTAAGTGGCTTTAAGAATCTGTTGGACTCCTGGCAGGGACCAATGCAGACATGCTCCTGTTTTTAATTTTCTACATTTGCCCTAGAATCTAGCTGTTTTTGCTACTTTTTTGCCATCTTATTTTAATTTGTAAAAAAAAAAAAAAAAAATCTGTATGCCTTTTTATAATTGTCTATTGTTGTCGCTGTTGTCCATTGTTGTCATCATTCTTTGTTGAAATCAGGTCTCTCTTGTAAATGAGTCCTCGAGGCTCAATGGGATGAATCTGTCTAAATAAAGGTTGAATGAAAAAAAAGATGGATGGATGGATGAATTGAATTAATAACGTGAGTCCCATGCTTTCCATTGTTGGGTATTGTGAAAAATGTCATTACGTGAGTATCGACCATTCTTGCTATGACAATCCTGTCCTGCAAAAACAACCAAACGCTGTGCAGAGCTGGGAAAGAACTGGGCTGGGTCGACCAGGGCCGAGTCAGAACTTACAGTGCAAAAACACCATTAGTGTGCCTATTAATATATAATGTAGCTTTATAATGTAGCTGTGGTTTTTTTGTTTCATTTTTATATAATTTCTGCTATTTACTTTCATTTTATGTGCTCTGATTGTCTGTTGTTGTCTGTACCTCATCTGTGTTCTTTGTTTAAGTCAGGTCTTTCTTGTAAATGAGTCCTCGCGGCTCAATGAGACTAACCTGTATAAATAAAGGTTGAATGAATGAATTAAGCATCTGGTGATGTGTTCAGGGTTTTATCAAACAATTGGTTGTTTTTCAAAATACAGAAATTGTGGCCGTTTTGTCATTCCATACAAGAACTGATTTATGACCTATTTGACTTGCCGTAAATTTACTTCTCATTACCCTCTGCTGCTTTCATCTGTAATCACTGGGAATATAATCTAAAATAAACAAACATGTTTATAAGATTCCTCCTGACATAGCCATTATGACTTTGTTTTGATGTAGAAAGTTTGGGATAGTATCTTCCTCTGCTCCTTTGCTGTCATGGCAGTTGGCAAAAGGCCTTTAAAGAAAGTGTGCATAATTGTCCATGACATACTCTTCAACAGATTCCATATAACAATTTGTTAAGTATGTATTGTGATGTTTGGTGCAAATAATTGTATCATTACATCTGTGTCAACTAAAATAATAAAGGAAAACAAAAAAAAACTCTGAGGACTAAATCACAGAAGCTTAACAGTCACATTTATGAACAATAATTCTGTTTCATAACTTAAAAAAACAAACAAACAATAAAAGACAATTGCAATTATTCATCCTAATTTCAAGAACAAACATACTGTGGCCCACGGAAACACTTAAATACATAAAAGATACATACAGTAGTGCCCGCACTAAAGCGCTTTGGTCTGATCGTTAAGGACTGTGATTGTGACTGTGATTGACTCAGTCCTGTACATTAAATGGACCACAGCAGGAAAAGGCACAGCAGTTACAGAAAGAGAAAGGAGAGATGGCCACGCAAGGCTGGCAATGTGTCGATGTGCGCATGTTTCTTCTGAAATGAGCATTAAAGTCACAGTCAAACTTCTTTTCTTTCTCGCTCTCGATGCCTCTGAATGGCTCGCCAGATCCGGCAAATGACTCCACCCCTGAGCGGTAAGAAGACAAATGTTACATGTTTATAACCGTTTTAAAAACAGCTGTTTGAAAACTTTTTCAGTGCTCGTTTTACTGTAATTTCAGCATTTTTGAGGTAAAAATACAAATTATTTTATGCATTACTCGTGTCTAACAAAATTAGATATGCAGCTAAAAATCATCATCAGGTAATTCTGCAGTCAGATAGCCTAAAGATAGCTCAATAAAGTGCAATAACTCTTTAATTTAACTTGATATATTGATTTCAAGCTTTAAAAGTCTAGAATTATTATCCAAAGTGATATTTATTTTGTTTTGGGGTGGTATTAACTTAATGTGGTTTTATTCTGACAGGAAGCAAAGATCTGTGTGGTTACCGTAAATGTAGCGTGCGGAGGTCGTCCTTGCTAACTTCATTCAGAACGTCAGACAGTGTGTATTCCTCAATCACAAACTGCAAAATTAAAGGAGAAATAAAAACAAAATTAGAGGTGGACTTTACAGTGGCAGAGCAGAATGAGACAGCTTGCAAACGGCTACACATTAGTATTTTTTTTAATGCTTATTGTCATTCAAATTTCAAGCTAGCTTAAAATTAGGATCATCATGTTGATAAATCATGATATTATAGTTAAGGTCAAACATGACAATACTGTTATGTGCAATGTAAAGCTAAAGTGTGAGCTCTCACATGAAGTGTTACCACTTAAGAGTACATGTTGTGAAGAACTCCATGTCAAAGTTTAGCTTCAAACTGACAGATGAGTTTATATCTACTGTTGTATTTGCTATTGTTGAATATTTGCAGTGGCCATCTTGAATGAAGTTGATTCTAAAAGTTAATCAGTTGTAGAGGTGTCTATTTAGTGATCCAGGAGATATTTTGATAAATTAATGCACACATGCTCACAGACACAAATAAAAAAATGCATCCAAAAGGCAAAAAGTGGGTCATAAAAATACACAACCTTGTCTATAGTGTCTGGGTCTGCTCCCTGCTCTTTCAGCCAATCAGAGAGCAGCTTATCTGGCTCATGGTCAGCAGGGATGTGAAAAATGGAGGGAGGTGAAAAGTCTGAAATAAGAAACATTTGCTTTATTTGCCTCTTCTTTTTAATTTGCATTTAGCTCAAAATACAATTATATTCACATTTATAATTTATCATAAATCAATGCAGTGTATGATAAATAAAGTTTATCTAATCTTTGAAGGGCCATGTATGTTTTAGCCTTGTCAAATCAAGAATTGCACCACAAGTTTTAGGATATAATGTCAGGAAATCAAGAAACAAGGTAATAATGCAAGCAAAAAAAACTGAAGGGAACAAATGTTTACATAAACGAACATCTAACTAAAAAAATGGAAATATTGCACGTGAAGCAAGGTTGTTGAAAAAACGGAAAAGAATAGCATCAACTTGGACAAGAAATGGAAACATTTGGATCAAAATACAGGAAGGATCTCAGGCTAAAATAATAAAAGACCTGAAGGATCTGGAAAGATTAAAATGAGCTCAGGAAAGGACAGATGATAAATCATTGACATAACTTCACAAACAAGAAATTAACAAAATATAAAATGAACAAATACATTAAAACATGGCAACATACGAAAACTTAGAGTTTAAAATATACAATGTTGAAGATGTGATTGATACAAATTTTTTCCCCTGTAACAAAAGACTGTGAATATTACAATGAAGAACAGTTTAATGACATCAATATGACAAATGGAGGTCTCTCTATTATTCACCGTAACAGTAGAAGTATAAATGCAAATATATCGAAAATAACAGATTATTTAAAACAGCTAAACAGAACTTTTACAATAATAGCACTGTCAGAGACATGGCTCAACGATGAAAACACAAATAATGTTCACATCGAAGGGTATGAATTATATCATGTGAACAGAAGCAACAAAAGAGGTGGTGGAGTGGCTCTATTTGTTAAAAATGAAATAAAATGTAAATTAATTAATGAAATGTCAATAATTGTTGATAATATCATTGAAATAATATCAATAGAAATAATAATCAAGAATGATAAAAACATATTGATAAGTAGTGTATATCGATCTCCAGGATCAAATATAGAAATATTCACCGATAAAATCGTACAACTATTGGACAAGAGTTTTAATAAAAGCATTTTTTTGTGTGGAGACTTTAATATTGACCTGGGAAATAAAACAGATTCAAATAACATCAGTACATTTACAAATTCATTGTATAGTTTAAATCTGTATCCGTTAATATCAAAACCAACAAGAATTACAACTCATAGTGCTACAATAATCGATAATATTTTCACAAATGTAACAAATGGGGATGTGATGGGAGGTATTTGAATGAGTGATTTGAGTGATCATTTACCAGTTTTCACGATTTATAAAAATGATCAAAGCATTACAAAAAAAATCACAATTAAGAAAAAAACAATAAACATAAAAAAAAAGAAATGGACAAATTATAAGATGATTTACATAAACAAAGCTGGAAAGACGTGTATGTTGATGATGTAAACAGATCATATGACAAGTTTATGAATATTTTAGGAGATCTGTATGAAAAGAATTGTGTGCAAAATAATTATACAAAGAGAAATGTTGTTGACCAACCATGGATGATGAACAGGTTGGGAAAAGCTTGTAAAAAAAAAATTATTATTTGTATACATGTTTCTTGAAATTGAAAACACAAGAGGCTGAAGAGAAATATAAGAAGTATAAAAATAAATTAGTAGCGATTATAAGGAAACACAAGAAGGAATATTATAGTGATTTATTAAATCAAAATAATGGTGATATGAAAGCTACATGGCGAGTAATAAACAGTGTTCTGAAAAGTCATAAAGTAAAAACAGGTATTTCACAATATTTTTTAAAGGATGACAATGAAATCCATGATGAAAATGAAATTGTAAATGGATTTAATCATTATTTTGTTAACGTTGGATCAAGCCTTGCTGCTAAAATACCAAAAGTAGACAATAATGTGAACCATTCAGTTATATGTTGTGACAACAGTATTTTTTTTAATGGAACTGACAAAGAAGAAATAATGAATATTGTAAAAAATATTACAGATAAGAGATCAAAAGACTGGGTGGACATGGATATGATGTTTGTAAAGGACATAATGAGTTATGTTATCGAGCCGTTTACATATATTTGTAATTTATCATTTTCAAAAGGAATATTTCCAGACAATATGAAAGTAGCTAAGGTAGTTCCTCTCTTTAAAAATGGTGATAAATGTGTGTCCAATAATTATAGACCAATATCTTTATTACCACAGTTCTCAAAAATTTTAGAAAAACTATTTGTGACCAGATTAGATAAATTTATTACTAAACAAAGCATTCTAAGTAGCAGTCAGTATGGGTTTAGAGCAAAAAACTCTTCATCAATGGCTCTCATGGAAGTAATAGAACAAATGACTACTGCTGTCAATCAAAAACAATATTGTGTTAGTATTTTTGTTGATTTAAAAAAAGCATTCGATACTAT